ACAATTAACACAGTGAGGGTCCACAGTGAGGAGCCATGGTCCTTGCCACCACAACAAGCACACATCATAGAACCACGACAAGATGTCTTTACATGACCGAACCGCTGACACTGAAAACATCGGAGAGGGTTGGGAATATAGGGCCGTACCTTACAGTTCAAATAACCTGCCTTAATGGCGGCAGGTGGACGTCGTGATGAAAACGTCAAAATTAAAACTGAGGTCGGCACCATAATTCCATCTTGACGAGTGGAGATCCTTCGGACTGCCGAAACTCCTTGATTGGAGAGACCAGCAAGGATCTCCGTCTCGGGGATAGATTTCAAATCCCTCTCAACGATAACTCCTCGTGAGGAATTCAAGGAAGCATGGGGAGTAACCTCAATGGGTATATCCCCAATGGCCCTCGAATTCAAGAGAAGTTCACTGTGCTTAGGATGGGAAGTTTCTACTAAGATGTCTCCAGAACGTAGCTTCTTAACTGACTTTGGAAAGCCAGCAAGCCCCTCTAAGCCCTTCTGAATAAAAAAAGGAGACATTTGCCCTAAAGATTTATCTGATAGTGAATGCATGATTAAAAAGCGAGGTACAGGTGTACTATGTGATGGAGACTGCTGTTCAGAGTCTTCTAGACGTGGTCGTTTACCAATAAGCAGATTTTTAACATTTTTTTTTATTTGGAATGGGAGGATCCATAATTAAAGAGAGAGAGATTCAGTGCCCACTGACCCCACCTTATATAAGTATGCCTTATATTTGGTTTTCTAAGTTTATACATGATGATGACTTTTTAATCTTGAATGACAAATTTATCAGTGAGTAGAGTTGGGGATGAAGTGCACCTGAGAATTTTTTAGTCTTCTGATAGTAAATATGGAGCCAGCCTTAAATCAACAACACTTGCATACTCTTATATCCTGAAATTATGAGCTGATTTTTTCTTCCATCTTTGTATTAAATGTTTGACTTACTTTTAGGCTTTCTAAGCTTTATTGGACTATGACTACTGCTTTAAACATTTGACTCTTCTAATTGTTGAGTATCTAACTAATGTGCAGGATGGTAGTTTCTAATTAGCAGATTCTTAACATCTACATCACGGAAAACTATCAGAAGTTATATGATAATGAAAGAACAATTATTATAGAACTAGCAACTGGAAATCATGGACTAACCGTTTAGGTGTGAAGAACCTAGTAAGCCTCTACTTAGCACTAAAGGACCTCGGGAATAATAAAAATGGTATAGGATTTAGTGAAAAATACAACACTCCTCAGGTATAATAAAAAGTATGTAAGCTAAACTTCTTTAAAATTTTACAAAACACACATTTAAAAGATGTTCTTTATATAATAAAAAAATCATCTATATAATTATCGTAACTTACCACTTCTTCAAGTTGTGTTGATAAATGATAGAATTTCCAACCATTAGACTTCTGCAAAACCCCTTTCTGATTGGCCAAATCATTCACTGCGGTTTTCTTTTCATCTAAAGAAAAACACAGAAAATTCAAATAATGATAGTTATATCTTGTTAGTGTGTTTATGGGATTTCATGACAGGTTTCTAAGTTCAAGAAGAACACATTTTGTACATTGTAAATTTAAAATAACTTATTTTGGTTTTTATGTTGATTATTTCTTTAAGATATGTTTACATAGGTATCATTAGTAACCTCAGAATTTGTGGTTGATGATATAATTTGTTTCTTTATCATATGTTAATGAAAAATGCTAAACCCACTGTAAACAAGAGATTTAAACACACTCCAAAGTGTTTGTTTTGCTTGTTGAATTTTGTGCAAAGCTACTCAAGGCTATCTGCTCTAGACCCCTAATTTAGAAGTGACCAATAAGATAGAAAAGGTAGCTAGCCAGCACCATCTACTGCTAACCATATTATAATACCTCCATGGCTGAAGGATCAAGCATGCTTGATGTATGGATTCGAGCCTAAAAGTTGAGTACCCTAACCACCAGACTAGTGTGTTTATGTTAGTGTGCATGTATAAGGATGTTATTTTCCCCTTAGATGACATTTTAGATACATATAATGTCAATCAAAAAGAAACAACTAAAGAAAAATATTGCTTCTACCAGACTGAATTATTTCAAATATTGCTTCTCCCAGACTGGATTATTTCAAGATTTAGCAAAATAAATACATTCACACATCAACTTAGTTCAATGGTGTTGGCAAGTATCCAATATGGTTGAACTCACTTTCAAAAATATTGCTTTTTTTTTAACTAAGTTAAATATGCATTAAACAAAAGCTATAAATGAAAACAAAACTCCAGGAATGCTCTATGTTATCATTTAACTTTCATGATAAAATGGTATTATGCACGAACAACTTATCTGCTCAGTCTGACAAGGACACACAAGATACTAACATGCTGGTGAATCTAGAAGATTAGAGAATTTGTAAAGGTTAGCTTAAATAAGATTAAACAAAAATCCTGATATACAATTATGTAGAAACAAAGTACGAGGTTCATTGCAACACACAAGACTAAAAATTAGGTTTTAATCTAAAAAAAAGAATCTTAACTTGAGAAGGAAAGCAAAAAAGAAAGACAAAAAAAAATTGTAAAAGTTGTGGAAAAACCTGCATCCATAAGTATATTACGCATCTAAAATAAAGCAAGGAATTTAAAATTATTATAACTGATTAAGAATTTAAATTTAAATAGACTTACCTTTAGGCTTGACATCACCGTATCTAAGAAAGTGATTGTGACGAGATTTCCAAGTGTGGTGGTAACTGTTAAGTAATGACATGCTAGGCCTCTTGCAAAATGTTACCCATTTAACAGGTTCTTCTAAAAATAATTTTGTAAAAGAATATTAATTAACACCTTCAAGTCATTAACCCATCAAAAGGGAGGTTAAGGTATATACCTGTTAAAATCATTAGCCAAGAAAAAAGGATGGATAAGGTGTTAAGTTTTCCAAAACTCAATACCTTCCTTTTTCCTTAACATATCTATATTTTTTGCACTTAAAATATCAATATAATTCATTTTACACCCCAAATATAATGCCTTTAAAATTAAGGAAAAATATCATATCTACAGCTTATTGTAAACTTGATTATAGTCCCTAAGCTTTGTAATACTAGAACTTACATTTCAAAACTTGTAACATGTTTTGAATTTAAACCCTTGTAGAAGCTTCTGATTTCTTTTCATTACATTTTACACCCTTTTTCATGAAATGGGCCACATACCCACTTTGTTATGTAGTAGTAAAAATTAGGCATAGCAACAGTACAACTCCAGAATAAGGTATACTGGAGCAATGGGAATTTGACCTTTGAGTTCATTGCATGTAAATATGCCAATGATTATTTTTGAGACCAAATTACTTTTACAACACAGTTGAGCATGATAGTTTAAATAGAGTTCAACTACCCAAATTGTGAGTAAAAGTTCAGTAGCTATTTGCTCACTATTTAATCTAGGCTTCATTTAAAGGACTAGAAGCATCTCCTTCACTTGTAGTATAATGTTGTTTTTGGCTTTACAAATTACTTTGAACATACTGGGGGGATGGGACCACATCACCTTCATTTAATGCATGTCGAATAATGCTTGAACTGTCCTTATTGTATCCAGTTTTCTCAACATTCATGTGCTATTTATGAATTCTTTTTTATCCCTTGTAGAAGCTTCCAATTTCTTTTTTTAACCCCACATTTTCAGCATGTTTACACCCTTCTTCATGCTGCGACTTCAACAAAACACACAAATTTTAGCACTAACGAAACAAAATTTCAATGTATAACCTTAAAAGATTTTATAAATAAAATAAAGACACTGTTTCATGGAAATCACAATGAAATTTTAAAAACAAAAAATTACAAATATTAGTCCAAAAATCCTATAAATACTTACAAAAATGTATGCTAAGCATAATGATAACAGAATCAGTAATTTTAGAAAAACATCACTTTTTGTGAAGCACTGTAAAGTTCAGTCAAAGAGATTTAACTGGGAATAATAGGGTTAAAAGTGATTTATAATTATGTCTCCAGTAACATGAACTGTGTCCCCCTGTGGGACAGCAGTAAGTTTATAGATTTACACTACTAAAATCTGGGGTTTGATTCTTCACAGGAGACATTAACAGCATATAGCCCAATGTGTCTTTACTGTAAAACAAACATAAATTGAACTTTTTGTTGTTTAATAAGTAATAGTTCCTGTGGATAATGTTCTCTACAGGGATGTTTATGAAATTAACTGTCATCAAAAGTTACTTTCCGTAGCAGTTACCACTGTTTTGATAAAGCAGTTAACAAACAGGTCCTTAATTTTTGAAATTTGTGACATTAAAATCTTGGATGGAAGGTAGTTTACTGAAATGTACAAATAAAATATTATGCCCATAAGCTTCACAAGCTGTGAAGGTTAACTGACGAAATTTAAATAGTTTTGAAAACACATTTCTTTCATTAATTCCATATTAATAAATGCTAAATGATCTATACAGATTTGAACAAATCAAAATCAATCCAACTAAGTGTCTAAAAACAATGTTTAAACTGCATTAAATTAAATCAATTTCAATTTTAGAAGTGCAACCATCCTATAGTGGCACTTACGTATTTGAAAGTTAGTAGAATCTCATCATTCCAAAAACTAACCATTCTTGGGAATTTGAACACTTTCTACCATCTATGTTAGAAAATATAAATACTATATATTCGTTTTGATAAGAAATAAAATTTTTAACAAAAATTTGTCTCTCACCTATGAAAGCAACATACATTTCTAGTACGAGTTAAATTTGTCAAATTGTTTTGAAAATGAAATATGTGTGGACATCAATTATGCTGATTACAGGCATAAAAATCAGCTCATTATGTTAATATACTATGTCACATAAACTAAATGTTTGTTGTTAAAATAAAATGTAAAATTAACTTATGTAATCCATAAAAAAAGACTGATACCTTTGTCCTTGTCTTCTTTTCTACTATTTTCATTTACCTCCCTGTCTAATTCTTCTTCCCCATCACTAGAATGTGGCCTAATTAGTTCATTTGCAGCCCTGAAAAGTAGATACAAAACCATTACATTAGTTCTACACAAACACTGAAAATAACTTGTATTCTAAGAACCTTTATCAAGAACATGAAATGATACATAATTTTGTATCTTCTAAAACAATATTAGCACAAGATCAATACTTCCATGTTTATTGTAAATAAATATTCTTATTATATTAATATTTATGTTTCAAAAAATAAGACAAATTATAAATGGTTACATGTAGTAAAGAAGATTTTGCATGTGTGCTGATTAAAAGATATTAAAACTTGTTAATTTAGTTATACAAAAAATATTATAATGAAAATTTCCAAATATATTGTGAGAATGAAAACTCAAATTACTTAACACTTTCACATGAGCTCAGTCATTTTGACTGGCCTTGTAACTACCAGGTAACCATGAAAGTTTCTATATTAATACTTTTAATATAGTTTGTGTATCTTCACAAAATTTAGAAAGCTTTTAGTAAACATTACAAATCGTTGTACATAAAAATTCATATTTTTTCATTAAGAACTTTTACTAAAGATTATTCTGTGAATGTATGAAGTCAGAGCATTTACTGGTACAAGTGTAATATATGTTACTTTCATTTACATAACCTAAAGCCACCAAAATGAATATCAAATTTTTATTCAGTAAAACTTTAAACATTATCTGTTATTTTCTCTACCTTAACTCTATATGAACTTGGTTGATTTGACCGACTTTGTAACGACCACAGAATTATCATAAATTACCCTTTTTACCTTCCTAGTATGACTGCAAATTGTAACAGAAAATTACAATAGCTTAAAGCTTCTAACAGTCTACTTCTGTTTCTACTTAATTTTATTTTTCATTTCCACTTGGACTGTGTCTAATTAATAAAAATCAATTAACGAACACACAGCTTAAATTATCATATTGTTAGTTACTTTTATACCAATAAGTAAAAAATATACAATAAAACAAGAAATTTAGTATTTATGTTTGGTCTCGATTTTTTTGCTGTTGGCCAGCCGATGAATCTTAAGCCTACATTTTTATAATCATGGTACTAGTACATTAAATAATTTTTATTTCAAGAATGCACATAAGAACACAGAACAACAATACATACATAAAGCAACCAATGTAACTATTATAATATAACTGACTTTCTAACTAAGACAAAAGAGCTTTAAAATAATTCTCTTAGCTAATCGATTTGAACTCGGCAAGAGCATCTTTCAGTCTGTAGATTAAATAAGATAAACTTTTTTGAGAACAACATAGCATTATACGTTATTCAGTAACTTAAAACTTTGTTGGTTATAAATGATGTAATAGAAAATGTCAGAAATTTATTGGCAATTTGTGAAACAGTGTGACAGATGGAGGTGGCAAGTGGGTCTGACTTTCTAGTTTATGTCTCTGTAAAAAAAAGATTGAAGGCTATAAAAATGAGGCTTTACCTTAGTAATATTTACATTATAATGAGTAATTTACATTAAAATCATGACATCAGAGAAGGGTGATGAAAACATAGAGAATGAGCAAGACAGTGCAAACAAATGTCACAATTCTCATATAAGGGGAAATGAGAGTATTCATTCAAATATTTTCTTTTAAAATTAAGAAATTAAAATTTAATGATTATCATAATTTGGTTTATTAACTACTCTCTGATGTCAAGTTTATTTGTAAACATTAAAATACATTGATTAAATTTTGATTGTAACTCTGTAAAAGGCCTTGACATGTGCACTTTGACTTATCTACAGCAAGAGGATTAATCTTTGCATTATTTAATGATACTATTCAAACATTTCTCATGGACAGAATTTACAAGGATTGTTTTTAAAGAAAATGACTCGTTTTATAATTATTAAGGGTTAAATTTCAATTTTCTCTCATCTGAAGAATCACAAACTATTGAAACACTGTAATTAATAAATGTAAAGACAGACAAAGGATAAGAAAGTCTTAAACTACAATGAGATATTTAGTTGAATCACCATAACCACTATTTAGCATTAAAAAAAAAGAAGTAGAGTTAAACAAAGCCCTCCATTTACCTTGGTTGCCTGAGAGGCCAAATTATAGCTGTCACTCAATTCACATCATCTACATAATTTGTAGTACACACAGAAAATAACTACAGATTATTAACAGCAAAGTACTTACAACTGTTGTTTTCTGGGCTTTTTCCTTGGAGACAGTTCCTGTGTTACAACAGAAGGTGTAGTATTCCATGCTGTAACATATACATTTTATATCATTGTATCAAATAATTTACATTCCTTCAGAAGACAAGATGAAAGGTTTAATATTCATATTTTTCTTTGAAATATGAAAAAAATATATATATAAATCTTCAATCTAAAAATAATAATTTAGACAAATGTTTCAACCCTTTAAGGACTGGAGATATCTCCCCTGACTTTTTCTTTCTCACAGTGGAAACTTAGTACAATGTTGCTAGAGTATGTAATTTTGGTTTAAAAATTCATATCAGTTGATACGTATTTCTATATATTTGAGGTTT